TTTATTTTTATTTATTTTTTTATCTTGTATGTAAAGACAGTAATGTCAAACATTGAGTTTGAAACAGTAAGAAAGATTGACAATGACACCAAAGTGGTTAGAATTGGTGATTTAAAACGTAAGATACTGTAAAATACAACAAATATTCTTTGTCAGACATTATAACACCTTCTGGAAAGAAAACAAAGGACTGGGTTAGAATTGCTTCTACTCAGAAAATTTTGACAAGAAATCCTGAGCTCATGATATCAGTAGCATTTCATGGAACAAGAGCATATCTTATAGACAAAAGTCTTATACCAATAGTTTTGTTATGGTTAGACCCAGTTGTTGGATATAACTTCATAACATATGGTTCATTCGATACGGAACGTTGCAGTGAAGGCTTACTTTACATCGTTCAGAAACGAAGGACTTCAATACAAAAAGATATAAGATAGGAAGAACATATAATATAACTCAAAGATATGACAGTACAGTCAATAGAGTCAAGGTTGTGTTTGCTAATGATATGAGAGCTGCTGAAACAGAACTACTCGAAAAGTTTGAGAAAATGTATGGTGCTCCCATAAAAGGTAAAGAAACGTTTGAAGTAGATGAGATAGATAAAGCTATAAAATTATTTGACGAAGTTGCTGAAAAATACATGTAAAGCGTTTATTTTTTGGTCTTTTGTGAAAGTCAGAAAATAAAGTTAGTTTTATTTTTATTTATTTTTTTATCTTGTATGTAAAGACAGTAATGTCAACATCAGAGAACACAACAACTGCTATCGTTCATGAAGCCATAAATGAAGAATACGAATACATACAGTATAACAAACAATTGAGACTCATTCGTTCAGTCAAAGATGACATGTACCAAATGCAAAGTATATATGAATGCTCTTCGTTCTACAAAGCAAGCATATCATTGGTTTGAAAACCAACAGACAAAAGAACTTTTAGAAGAATTTTCTCATATGATTGCTTCCCTCGGAAAACCGAGAGAAGAGATTCCGTACGAAAATCGCAAGAATTTGGCTCCTGGTTTGAAAGGTTATTATGTTCATAGACTTTTAGTAAACGCTGTAGCAATGTGGGCTTCACCTCGTTATGCTTGTTATATTTTCATGATGTTAGATGAACTATATAAAGCAGAACGTGGAGAGATGGAAAAGAAACTTCAAGCAAAAGATGAAGTCATTGAATCCAAAGACAAAAGCATACAGAAAAGAATACCGCGTTTCAGTACCAAAAGGAAAGGAAAAGAGCTATAGGTATATGATATATGAAGAATTGGAGAAAGAAGAAGATAAAGATATGGTTATGTTGCATTTAGTCAGAAGAAACAACAAGAGCTTTTATGACTTAGCTAAAAAATATAAATCTGACAGAAACTGGTTTCTATCGTGAAAACTTACCGATTTCAATGACACCGAATGAGCAAATAAAGGAAATTGTCAAAAATACTCTTCCTCAAACACACTATGACATCAAAGGTTGCACAATACTTACATTCAAAGAAGACTTAACATTACTGAAGGAAAAAATAACAGAATATTTCGATAACTTCAAAGAGGAAGAATGAAGTCACGACAACATTAATGATGAAGTCACGACAACATTAACGAAGAGAGAATGAGGTGAAAAAAGAGGTGAAAAAATGGGTGAGATCTCACCTCTTCACCTAAAATATATTTTTGTGCTATATTTACACTCATTTACGAAGAAGTCATGAATCCTACGTCAATTATGTTCGACACTGATAACATTAACGATAACATTAACGATAACATAAACGATAACATTAACGATAACATAAACGATAACATAAACGATAACATAAACGATAACATAAATGCTCCATGTCAATTATGTTCGACACTGATAACATTAACGATAACATAAACGATAACATAAACGATAACATAAACGATAACATAAACGATAACATAAACGATAACATTCATTTTTGCATTAATCCTGCTGTGTTGTCAAAATGTCATGTTGTCATCATTTTTAAAAGAAGTTAATTAACCTGGTGACATGGTGACGTAGTGACACCATCAGTTATTCAAAAATATATTTTTGCTTAAATAGCTTCAGGGTCTATTTCTTCAACCATTTCACTTCCTTCGTCAATGTCAATAGAAGCTTCTTCAACCTTTGGTAAGAATTTCTGTATAACATCTTTGTTCGTTATTGTCTTCAGAGATGAAGGATAATATTTCACATTTGTTTCACCCTTCTTATATTCTTTCTGTTCGGAAAGATTTAAAGCAATACTGAAGAAGTCAATGTTAGAGTTCTTTATAACAGTATAATGAGTATCTTTGACATTCACGAAGAAACTCTTTTGTTTCAAAACTACTGCTAACTCTGTGTGAAGTATAGCGTTTGCGGTCAATGACGATAGCTAATGGTCTGACATACTGACCAAACTTAGATTCTTTCACAAACTTCTTGTTAAAGATAACATTAACATTTGAAGCATTATTGAACTCATTCTTGATGGCAGTAGCGAGAGCATTGTATGAAAAGAACTTGCAATCTTGCATGTGTTTCATTAAAATAAAAATATTAAATTATTTTGAAAAATAACTTAAAAAATCTAATCTAATTTTTTCAAAAAATATTTTTTTATTTCCTACTAAAGATGTATCGGAAGTTGTCTAAGTTAGAACACTCGGAAATAAAACAACTTCTTACAGAAGCTAATATAGATGTTGCAAAGCATTACGCAACAAACAAAAAAGCACTCGCTGACTTCATTAAAGACTACAATGGTGCAATAAGTTATGATAGAATTCATGAGTTCATAAAGCCGCAACGCGGCGAGGACGAAGTCCATGCAAGAGCATTTCCTTTAAATGACGTTGCTATTGACTTATATCATAGACGTTCAGTACCTCATGAAGTAAGAAGAGAAATGTTTGACATAACAAATGCAAACGTTGGTGAAACAAGAAGAAGAGACGACACACTGAAACAACAGAGAAGAGAGATGTTTAAGAGCGCTATAGAACAAGTTCGCAAAGCTAACGATGTCATTCGTTCCATTGACGACAAACCAAAAGAAGGTGAGAGATGGTTAAAGAAAGATGAAGAGAATAGGAAGAGAAATGTGAAGTCAGGCAATAGACTCATTGACTTTAACATCGAAGCTTTAGATGAACCAAACAGAGACTACTTACACAAACATTTCGGTAAGGTTTTCATGAGACTCTTAGAGAAAATTAAAATAAACTCACAACAGAGATGGATGGTATGTTATAAACTTGGTGGAAAGTATGAATGTTCTACGTTAAACCTCAATAATATTGGAACATTACTACATCAGCTCTTGAAGGAGAACTTTATATCAGAGATAGAAGCAAATGCTGCAGGTATTGTTGAAATGCACTATGACTTCTTCTTGACAAACATAAAGAATCTTACCGAAATAAAGATGTATGATTTAACAGAATATGAAGGCTTAACGATGTCAGATGTAAAGAAAGGCAAACCAAAAAAGAGACCATATAGAGATGAAAGCACACTGACAAATGACCAGAAAGCCATTTTGGAAGCTCTTAAGCAAACAGGAAACCCAGCACTTATAGAAAGCTTTTGGAAAGATAATGGTGAAAAGAAGTTTTATAAGAAGAGAAGCGGTCAGTTCTGGAAGTATCTTTGCACATTACCTATAAATCTTGAACGCTACCAAATCTTCAATGAACTGAACAAAAGAACTGCAACACTTATGACAGAAGACAATTGTTTCGTTTATGCTTGCATTCAGGCTGGAGTAATGAAGAAACTATTGACCACATGAGAGAAGTCATTCGTGTTAGAGACTTTCCTCAAAGTAAAGTACAAGAAATTTCTGACGCAACAGGTATAGCATTTAATGTTACCATTGGTTATTTCAATGACTCAAGACATAATGAAATAAAGAGATACATACCAAAAGAATGTGAAACTGTTCGAACTATTGACTTACTTCTTGTTGAAGACCACTACATGCTAAATGAAAGATTACCAATGACAACATATTTCATTCGCAAATTAGAAATCTTGAAGGAGTGTGGTGGAATGAACATTGAGAAACAAATGAAGATTTATACAAAGAGAGAAGATAAATATGTAGTTCGTTATGATAGAACAACACCGTTATGGGATGTTATGAAAACATTGTGGGAGTGCAAATATTTCGAACCTATTTCTTATGGAGAACTTTTCACATATACGACTGACTTATATAAACAGAACCTTGCACCATTTAAAGATTTGACATATGCTCCAAAGTATTGTGTACAACTGAAGAAGAAAGCCGAGTCAAAAGAAGTAAATAAAAATAAGTGCAAGTTCATTCCTGAGCACGTTTTCTTTGCTGACTTTGAGTGTAGCACAGACGGCTTTCATAAAGCTTTAACATCTGTTATGACAGTGAAGATGGTTCAGTGAGTGAAAGCATTTGGGGTCAGAACTGTGCAACAGAATTTTTGGAGCGACTTCCTGACAAGAGTTTAATATATTTCCATAACCTCAGTTATGATATAAACTTCATCTTAAGACACATGACAGAAGTGAAAGGAACTCCCATCATTAAAGGTTCACGAACAATGCAAATAACTGGCTTATATAAAGGAAGGGCAATTATTATAAAAGACTCTTACAGTGTTATAAATAAGAAGCTTAAACTATTTCCTGCTATGTTTAACTTACAAACAGGACCGAAAGAAGTATTTCCATACAACTACTACAGCAGTGTTTTGTTAGCAAATGACAACAGAACTGGTGTCATTTCTGAAGCATGTAAGTTTAAAGATATTGATACATTCATGAAAAACATAGATTCCATCAAAGGTTGCAGAATAGATGAGAACCACTTCGACTTAGAAAAGTATAGCACATTTTATTGCAAACAAGATGTAAGAATTTTAAGAGAAGGTTTTGTTAAGTTCCGCAATGACATATTGAAAGAATTTGATTTAAACGTTTATGACTACGTTAGTATTTGTTCAATTGCTAACAAATTGTTTGAGAACAGAGTGTACTTCCCGAATGGAAATTTATATGACCTCTCAAATAAACCAAGAGAATTTATTTCACGCTGTATTCAAGGTGGAAGATGTATGCTGTCAGATAACATGAAACAAAAGAGCGAAAAGAAACTCATTGCTGACTTCGACGCTGTTTCATTATATCCATCAGCTATAGCAAGACTTTATACTTTAGAAGGTATTCCAAAGGTTATGAAGAAAGAAATGTTAAGCACAGAGTATCTCATGAGACATTTATTCGATGACGACCAAAAGGAACCCATTGGTGAAAAGTTTATGTCTGGCTTCTTTGTTCTCATTAAGATAACAGAGATTGGAATACATAGACACTTTCCTTTAATAGTTTGTGACCCTGAACTAAATCCAGAACTTAACGTTCCCAGAAGTTCAAACACTTGCTGTTTAATGTATGTTGACCATATAACATTACAAGACCTCATAAAATATCAAGGTGTCAAATGTGAAGTGTTGCAAGGATACTATTACGATGGAAACAGAGATATTAGAATAAGAGATGAAGTAAAGAAGTTGTTTGAGTTAAGGTTAAAGTATAAGAAAGAAGGAAATCCTTTGCAAGAAAATATAAAGCTCATTCTGAACAGTATTTATGGCAAAACTATTCTATCTCCTATTGAGTCAAAAATAACCATAGTAAATGACAAAGATGCTATAAGATATGCCATCAGAAACTACAACCATATAGTGAAGTTCGAAGGTTTGGATGGTTCAGATAAAACTATTTTCAAGCTAACGAAAAGCATTTGCAGACACTTTAACTTCTGTCCACTTGGTGTTAACATTCTGTCTATGTCGAAGAGAATAATGTGTGAAGTATTCTGTACTGCTGAAGATATGGGACTTCAAATATTTTACCAGGACTGTGATAGCATGCATATTTTCAATGAAGACATACCAAAGCTTGCAGCAGAGTTTAAGAAGAGATACGGTAGAGAACTTATTGGAAAGAACCTTGGTCAGTTCATTCTGACTTCGCAGAAATAACACCTGGAAAACAAAGTTTAGCATACAAGTCAATATTTTGTGGAAAGAAGACTTACATAGACTTACTCACTAACGATTTAAATGAAGTTGCATTTCATGCACGTTGTAAAGGTGTAAAACAAGACGTTCTTGCTTTAACAGCTAATGAAATGTTTCCTGAAGCTATACAATGCTATTACAATGAAGATAAGAACATTCACATACCTGTTGGAACATATGACAAAGACTCTGAGTTCAGTTTAATGAAACTTTACAAAGCACTTCATGATGGTCAAGAGATTGGATTTGACTTATGTAAGTCTTCTAGTCCTTGCTTTGCTGAAAAGTTTAACTTCTCAATAACGACTAAAACAAGCTTTATTCGTAAGTTGAAGTTCTGAGGTCATTTATTTTTGTCAGCAATGAGGTCATGAATGAGGTCATTCGTGATAAAAATAATGAGGTCATATATTTTTGTCATTTATGTATAACCATTGTCTCTCTTAAACTTTGCAATAGACAGCTTTGTTCTTCTTCCTTCTACATCTGTAATGTTTATATAATCTTTGCTATACTGTCTTAAGACATTCATTCGTCTGTATTGAGTTCCCATGAAATAGTAAAAGACATCTTCACTTGGGACATAGTAGTAATTTTCTAGAGTAAATTTAGAGTATTGTATAATTTCAACAGCATCTTCAGGAAGAGTGTCTACAATGTCAAACCAATAGCCATTCGAACCAGAAATATTTCTCATGTTTTGTCTTCTCGACACCCACCTTAAGTTTGAGATATGAAAGTCTCCTCTGTCTCTGTTTATATGGTCTACTTCTCGAAGTCCTTCAGGATTCGGTATAAATTGATTTGCAACAATTTTATGCTTAAAGAGTTTATGTTTGTTTAAATAAACACAAATATAACCATCACCGTTGTCAAACTCACTTACAACTCTTTTGTTACTTATGCGCCTAATTGGATATGGGTACTCTGAAAAGATTTCATAGTCATTGTCATGTTCGAGTGTTTGCCAATGTCCTTCACCTTCCATGCCTTTCACTCAAATAAAAATTTTCAGAAAAAATAAAACTAGCGTAGATTTTACAATACTGCGATGGTAGAGTTTAAGAGTTGTGCTTCAATGTAGAGACAGTCCTTATGGTCTGGAGGTAAGAACACTGGGCAGTTATGGTCATGAGTGGAGAACATGTCTATCCAAAACTCACGATTGAAGCCAGTTAATTTATAGTATTTAGGGTTAGGAAGTGGTGAAGTTCTTGTATGACCAATGAACTCATTTTCAACTCCCTTACTTAAGTTTGAATATAATATAGCTTGCTTTCTATCCCAAATGCCTGTTACAATCTTTGAAAATTCATTTTTCCTCGGAAGCATTGCATCATAATTGAAAACATTCTTGAAATCATCACTTGGTTCAGAGATTTGAAATCTTATACTAATGGATTTTTTTTTCTTTTTAGCTACTTCATTGAATGGTGAGAATACAATGAATTGACAGTCATGAGTTCCATCTTCATTTTCATTAAATTCATAATGAAAGTCTATAAGTTGTGGCTGACTACCTTCTTCTTTCAGTTGTGCAAGAAACTCACGTAAAGGCTGTAAAGTTTGTACTTCAATGTTGAACTTTTTCTCGAACATCTCATTAAATGAAATCATACATTGTTGCAATGTTGTATCGTCTTTAAAGTATTTGTATATGTGAATGTTTTGGACGCTTAAAGACTGTTCGTCATTTTCTATCTCGACTTGAAGTATAAAGTCAACCTTTCTGAAAGCACGTGTTATATACATAGATGTTATGCCAATGTACTTCTCTTCATTTATGTTCACAATCCAGTCTGTTGGAAACTTAAACGTACTCTCTGTTCCCCTTTATTTTGACGTCAGGGTTTTCACTACTGAACGCAACAGTTAAAGGTATTTGTCTATACATTTAATTCGGATATAAAAATAACCATTTACTCTTTCTTTGCTTCAGCTTCTTTAGCTTTCTTCAGCTTCTTCTCTAGCTTTCTTCGCCAGCAAACGTGGGTTCTTTTGTCTTCCAGCAGCTAATGCAGCAAGTTGTTTTTCACTAAGTTTTCTCTTTGGTCTCTCTGGCTTTTGTTCTTGTTTTTGTTCCTTCAGTTCGGATAAAATTTGCTCACGAATTTCTTTCTTCAATGCTTCAACATCTATGACCCCCTTGGGTCTTGTCCGTAGGGCTTGTCTGAGTCATTTGACTGCAGATAAAAAACAAAATTAAAACTTTAACCGATGTAAAATGAGCTTGTCAAAAATCAGAGCGAGAGTCTATTATATTAAATGACGCAAGAGGAATTACAACATCCTTTCTATTACGTAAGTCAGAGTAAAGATGGTAAAAATAACGTAAGAAAAAGAAAGGTTCCATTAACGAATGCAGAAGCGACAGTATTAAGGTGTATGGCAAGGCGAAGCCCACGAAGCCCATGTTAAGCCTTATCAAACTGAAAAGTCAATAGAACCAGAAGAAAAGAAGCCAGATGTACTTTCAATAACGAACCAAGAGCTTTGCAAAGTTCGTGAATTTCATTGAAAAACAAACCGAGTCAAAGAATCCTGACCCGCCAGTGAAAGAAGTTGAGACAAAAGAGAATGTACAGTTCATTGAAAATGTCAAGAAACAACTTCCACCACGAATGCCAAGAAGAAGAGTGAGAATAATGAAGTAAATAGATATTTTTATCTGAAAAATACATGCAGAACGAACAGTTAAACGAATTTACTCCAGCAGAGCATATTCATCAGATTCGCTCATATTTCGATATCATAGACAATGCAGTTCAAATTGGTGACACTAATAGAAAATATTCTGACGCAAAGATTCCATCACAACCTGAACTGCTAAAGATAACACATGGGTAACATTCAATCTCTCACCCCTGGTGAAAATATGTTGGACCTTTTACAATACATTCATTACGTATAAAATGGAAGGTCAATTTATTTGTAGATAAAGAAATTGGTTCAGGTTCCAATAAAACAAACCCACCAGGATTTTGGATTGGTTTCGATGACGCTTTTCTATGCAGTTGCTGGATATCAAATCCTTGCAAATGGTCGTATCGTATATTCTCAAGACAACGCAAGAGAAGAAGCATATATAACTTCAAACTCCAAACTACCGAACAAATAAAGAAAGTAGATGTTTTCTCAAAGACTCGACATGAGATGTATGGAGTCATTCGGGAACATGCAGAAACAGGACAAATTGTAGTGGTCCAATTACAGCAGGAAAATCATTTGATTTTAAGCTTCGTTTAAGAATTCCTGTTAGAAGATTCCTTCCATTAGAAGCTATTCGATTTATTCCAGCTTTTGCAGGAAACATTCAGCTTAAAGTAAAGTTCAGTAGCGACGCTTTACAATGCACATCTATATCTGTAAATGATATCATTGCTTTCAATCCAACTCTTAAAGTTGCATTTGCTTCAGATTCAAATCCCGACAAATAAATTTGTTCCATGGAATGAACCATTCACTATGATAACGAAGGCAGTAGAAGCTAGTGGAACAGTTACTATTACAACTGTAAACCAACAACTATTTCGAACAAAGATGGATTTTAATGAATGTTTCATTCATCCAAAGTCATTCTCTTTAGACCCTAACATTTATACAGAACTTGTAGAACATTATACAAACGAGGCTTTTATGTTTTCCTGTTAAAGTTATGGATTGGATTCCTATGGACGGTTCATTCTCAAAGAATACAGATAGTTCAAGTGCAACATTTACAGCAGCTTATACGCCTATTAATGTTAAAAGTATTTGGGCACTATTTAGAAAGAAAGACAACTATTATGTTAATTTTGAGAAACCCTAAGTTTAAATATCTTCAGCTTTCATGGGAGCTTATGGAAATATGCCTGCAGAACCCGAAAAATCATATGGACCTGTATTTTATGAAATGGTTGCGAACGCTTGCAATACAAACAATGAATATAGGATTTAATGAAGATGTTATGAGTCATTGGTGGATGATGGTAGTGTGGAACATAAATGGGATAGCTATGACAACACACATTTCTTATGTGGTTTTCCAACAGAAGTGGACTTTTGCTTCCAGCAAGGTCAAACATCTACTGCTCCAATAACATACAATTGTCTGTTAAAGGACCTATTGAACTAGCAACTGAAAATGTACCAAAGCCACTTATTGGATTATGAGGGATTGTTGCTTTGCCATTAGGTGCGTGCTAATGGCATCCCCATAATAAGATTAGATGACTATAACTTAGCTACGGACGACAGTGAGGAATAAAGGATGAACGTTATTTTTAAAGCTTATAAATGAGTTCTTCATCAAGCTCTCGTGAACCTTCACCATCTATGAAACAAACTTTACCAAACGATTATGGAGCACCTATTGAATATTTCTTACGAGCTGCACAATGCAAAGAGCAGTCTCACCAAGGTTAGGTGTTCCACCAGCTCCTGTCAAAAATAGCATTTGGTCAATCCTTATATAAAATATGGTCTCCCACTAGTTTGCTAGCTACAGCAGAGCAGTTATATGTTGAAAGAAATAAAGCAAATGTTGTAAATAATACTGAAGTAGCTGAAGTTAAACAAACTCCAACACCTTCACAAGCAAAACCTTCAATGACTCCTGAACTATGGAAGTACAAACTCCTGTTCAAAAGTCAACTCCTAAACCGACTCCAACATTTAAACCAGAACCTACTCCTCAAATAAATCGTAAAACTCCTGCGTTTCCTTACTGAAAAAATAACGTTATTTTTATTTAATATTAAATTTTTATTTGATTGAAATGACGACTAAAGTACTGAAGCAATGAAACAAAAGTTTTTGGTAGAATACATTAAATCAGGAACTATTCCAGAAGGTTTTTACATTCATACTATGAAGGATGGTAGAGTTCAGTTTAGAAAGATAAAGCAACCATTAGATAAAGAAGGAATTTTGAGAAAGATTAAACTTCATGAGGACAACATTGCTAAACTTAGGAAGAAGTTAGAAGAGTTGGAGAAAAGGAAGAGAGTTATAAAGCAATGAATTCAACAGGGTGAAAAAACAGGTGAAAAAAGAGGTGAGATCTCACCACTTCACCTAAATTTATTTTTGCGCTATGTTTTCATACGTGTGGGAGTGGTGATATCATTAATTTTTAAGTTTATTTTTTATTTTATTTTTATATAAATGACGAAAACTATTGAGATAACAAACTACAACGGTCATGAGTTCAAGAATTTGTTCTTCGTTCCTCGTGAAAATACATTCTATCAGATACGAGGGAGAAAGGGTAAAGTTAGTTTGAGTGTTTATGAAGGAATGAAGAATGGAAAGTTTATACAAGCATACGATACAAACGGTAAACGTGTTTCATTAGCTTTGTCAAAACTTACTAACATTTATTTTGACAGTGATTTTGACCTATATGAAGAAGAAAGTGAGTCAGAAGAATATGAACTGTTATGTGAAGCACAGCAATGGGAGGAGTTGCAATACTTTTGTAAGTGAGAACGTTTATTTTTTACATTAGTGAGGTGAAGTGATTGGCGGCTTTGTAAATATTTAAGGTTAAGTTAGTGTTGTCGTTTGTGTTGTAAAATATACGTTAACGGTTTTGTAAAGTGTCAAATTCACATATCAGGGGTAAGGAGGCGCGCAGTGCCTCCGTACCCTTGATATGTTTACTAACTCCTTTAGCACGAATGTATTTATATCTTCTTTCATTAACATCTTCAGTGCTTATTTGTTCATCCTGTGTTAAATATCCATGGTAGTCCGTTATAATCTGTTCGTCTGAAGTTATATAATGAACGTGGTTCTTGACTTTATCACTCAGAGCTAAAAGCTCATTTTTGTCTGCTTTTTCGGCTAATTTCTCATTAACATCATTCACTTCTAATTCAACTCTTCCGCCAGAACTCTTATTATCATTAATCTTTTTCATTAATTCGGTAATTACGTCATAAAGACTATATTCTGTTTTCGGTTTTGTAAATAATGAGTCAAAATTTCTTTTCATCATTACATCGCTGACATTAATGATATCACCAATTCCTTTTTCATTTATTCTCTTCATTAATTCTGCAATAATGACGAATATATAATCTGTTAATTTATTCTCTTCATCGAGGGTTATAGAATGTTTTGAAATTGAATCATTAACTCCTCTAAATAAATCAATAACTTCAGGATACACGTTTTTAATGTCTCGAATAACCCGACCAGTATCCTGTTGTTCATGTTCTTCGTTCCCGTCGTTACGTGGTTTTATATCTCTAACCATCATCAACGCAGCCATAACCGGAGGGTTTGTTGCTATCTGTTCGAAAATCCGTCCGTTATGTACGGTATATCTAAATAATTTCTTTGTGTTTGTTAAAACATTTGAAACAAGTCTTTTAAAACCATCTACAAAATTTCCTGTTTCACCTAATGTTCTTGCAGCATTTACAAGCTCACCCATTCCCGCTTTTGACCCCAAAAACGTCCATATTGCATTTATTTCACTCTGTATAGTTGTCCATTCAGCGAAACTAACACCCATTCGCTAAGCTGAAAATGAAATTCAGTGGATCGAACTTAATTCCACCTTCTTTTTTCAATTTCAACGAACTCACTAACATGAGATTTTAAGTATTCTTTCGTTAAAATTGTTTTCCCGATGTTATGTCATTAACGAAACTATCACCGTCAAAAGTTAACGAATTCAATTTCGTCGTTGATGCTTTTATTTCATACACCGCTTTATCAATAGTTTTTGGCTCACCTTCTTTAGAAGCATATGAAACATTAATGAATGAATTATATGTATTCGTGAATGAATTAAAATCAATGATTTTCATTAATGACGCCTTTAATGATTCATTTACTGTCGAATCCCTTAAAGTAATTAATGAACTGTCATTTATGAAAGGTACACTGCAAACCGTCGAGTTTGGATCAAATGCTGTAGTTGGTGCAGGAATATTAATGATATAAGTCATTAAATCATTAAGTGGCGTAAATAATGTTGTCGTTTTTGATTTAATTTCTTTAGCATCTGTTATATATGGTAATTTTATTTCTGTAGTTTCTGAATTAAAGATATTCGCTAAAATGTTTTGTAAACTGTTTTGAACAGCTGTGTAAACCGTTGAATCCGGAATTCTTACGATTTCACCGTCCTTAATAAAAGGCATTGCACATGGTGTAGTGCTTGGGTCAAATCTTTTTGGGTTATGATTCAACATATATTCTAATGCTTCATAAACAGACCTATATACGGTTGTATTATTTTTTTCAATAATTTCACCGTCCTTTATAAACGGCATAGTACATGGAGTTAAAATAGGGTCAAACTTTTCATAGTCCTTCCATGTTATGTATTTCTCAGTATTTCCATCAGTGAGAACAATATTTGTCAGTAAGTGTGAGAGAGTATTGACCAAAATATAAACGTTTAGCTCTGTCAGCTTCATACGCATATGCAGCTATACTCATATTTTAATGAGAATAAAATGTTGTTCTATTTGCAAAGTACAGACCCAAACGAATACGGGACAGTAAAGCTACAAACAAACTTAGGTCTACAGAATGAGGCGCTTGCATTCAGAATGGTTGACTTCAATACTATCGCTTCATTCGTTATAACAGATGAAACAGATTTCATGGAGATTGAAATAGATGGAAAGAAGCACGAAATAAGATTTCACAATAATGTAGAATATAAGATGGAAACATTAGCTGGAGTGTTTAAATGCTCTCATAAATACTACAATAAACAAGGATAACGAAGAAAACTTAATGAATGTTAAACTTATTGCAGGAGTTTTGAAGTTCAGTTATGTGAAGGAGTTTAAGATACCAAGAATGAGTCATAGAGTACAACTTCTTTTGGGTGCATACCATATGACATTTCCTTTGAAAAGTGTTGACAAAACGATTGAGATGAAATCTGTTCCATACGTATGTTATGGTAATTGTTTATACATTGAGTCTAAAATAGCTAATGTCACAGGCATTTCAGGAGTTAATAGTAAAGGTTCAGTAGAATATAAATCCTTCTGTTATGCAGTCAATTCAATGTTCATTCCAAACGTTCCTGTCATAGCAACTCATTTAGGTAAATGGATTCGCATTAGTCCTCATAATTTGAAAGACATGCAATTCAGACTTGTTGACTTTCAAGGAGAGCCTGTAGAACTGAAGGCACCAGTGCGAATGACTGTTGAAGTTGACTTTTTAGAAAATATTAAATGCAACAGCTTACAAGAGAACTCAGAGCTAAAAATATAAAGTATGAATGTTATGTATTAGGTCATGAACTTTGGTTGTTGCTGTTTGATGAAACAAATGAATTAGTTATGTCAGTCAAGAGAACAGAAAAATATTGTGTTAGTGAAAACTGCACCAAGTCAATAAGATTAGGTTTGCATTATGAAGATGAGTTCGATACTGTTGAAGAAGTTTTGGATAGATATTACAAATTGCTAACTTGAAATTTTTTTTGACTGACGGCGCAAAGCGCCAAGATGGGCTCAAAGAGCCCTCCTGACTGCTTTAATTTACTAAAACATATTTCAAACAAAGTTTATATTCTGTTGAAAGTTTTGTATATTCGTTCGAATATTTATACTTAAACTCAACTCCTGTAGTTCCTGGTGTTTCAATGATGCGGATGTTACCTATTTTCATGAATAGTGGAGTTTGACCACATCATTCGATTTCAGGGTCGAGATAGTCAATGACACATTGTTTCCCTGTTATTCGTGAGATAACATTTTCAAGGTCCTCCTTTGTTAGAATTATTTGGTTCTTGCTTATAAGATTTGTCAAAAGCTTCTTATCGTCTTTGAGTAAAATTGTTTGGTATAACTGAAGAAGGTAATGGTCTACGTTATCTGAAGGATTTGTTTGAACATTTGTGTAAGGATTGTCGTTGGCTTCTCTTGAAAGAATTTGGTCCAGTGGTGGATACTCTAACTTAACATCTGATGTAGCGTTAGCGTTTGAAGCTGAGTTTAAATTCACCGACTTAAGTTCTGGTTCTGGTTCTTTCAAACACTCTGAACTATAGTTCTTTATGACAATATTGTTTGTCGTTCGTGAGTCAACATTTGATGTTGGTTCAATTGGAACATTAACGGCACCAGCTAAGATGGATTTGCTTCTCATTTCATATAGAATAAAAACCTTTTATATGTATGAAATGAACAATATACTCGACAAGGGTTCGAATGTAAAGCTAACGAATGAAAATATTGTTGAATTCACTGAGACAGGAGCTGTGTATAAAGATGTAGAACTACTGAACAAAAGAGCTAAGGGAAGAAGCAGGAACATGAACAAAGGGTGGAAGCCTATAAAAATTTATGTCAATGATGGCTCAGGAGGTTCAAACATAAAGTATGCAGAAAGTTATAGAGTTTATGCTCTCAAAGGTGAAAAGCCTTCATTTAAGAACAGCTATTCTAACGCATATCCTCAAAAGCTAACGGATGGGGAAGTGGATGATATGAATGACAGCAAAAATATTAACAGAAATGGCGACAGAGATGCATGGAATTTGTTTACCATCAGTCAATTGAAGGTTAAACTTTAAAACAATGTTGGTCGTTCCCATGGAATATTTTTGACTTTAATGGTATTAGTCATGATATGAATCTCAAGGTATGAACGAGGAGAGATGAGAGACTTATATGCTTCCCAAATTTCTTCAAAAGGTAATGTTATACCTGACTGTTTCCAAATGAGTTCAATATCATAACGTGAGAAACCTTGAAAGATAACGAAGTCAGTTATGAGACGTTTTATGTTTAAAGCTAAAAACCTCCATGTTTGCATAAGTATTGCTACAGTTAAATGGTAATGTCTGACTTTAGTAATGATGTTAGCTAATGGTGAGTCTGGCTTTGAAACTAAACCTTTACCAGCGAAGTCGTCACAAACTAATAAAGTGTTTGATGGATATTTTTTGAAGGGGTATTTTGAAAGTTTTGATAGAATGTAGTTTGTCAGTCGTTTCATATCGTAAACTCCTGAGTACTGACGTAAGTGGTGTTTGTCAATAATTCTTTCCATCTCCTCAGAAGTCTTTTGCATTCCTGACTGTATAAATTCAACGATGGCATAATATTTCCTCTTACGTCGAATGTAACGTTAAAGAAATTCAATGAGTTCACTGTCTGGAACTTTAACGACAGAGGCTTGAACTTTTGACATAAATGTTTTCGCTGTTGAGTCCATAGAGTCTGAAGTTGCTGATATAATGATTTGGTCATAATATGAGTCATTTCCTAAACGTTCTGTTATGAGTATATGACGAATGAGGTTAAATATCTTACCTGAACCCATCTTTCCACAATAGAAATACACACCATTTGAACAGAACTCATAGTCCTTGCTGAAAGGAAGAATAAGAGAAGAGTTAAGTTTGTCTGTAGTTTCATTCATGTCTTCATCTACGTCATGTATTAAATGCTTCATTTTATCTCCATTAAAAATGCAAGTCAGAAATATTCAGAACATAGCACCGAGTCTAACTGACAAGAGTATAAAGATATACTATGAACACGTTATGATGAAACCAACCAAAATTCAAGAAAGTCAGTATACTTATGAATATCCAAGACACTGGGTAGAGTATGTAGGAGGTGAGAAAGCTATTGAAATCAGACAGGTTCGAAGTATTCCAGCAGGAAGAACAATATTATTGAAGAACTTTAATGTTTTGAGGTATAATGATGAAACAAAGAAGCAAGATAGTTTCCCTGTTGCTGTGTATGTGAACTTAGATACAGGAGATGACATGAAAGTTTTTAATACAAAGCTTCAAACGGTAGTGAGAGAACAACTGACTGCGGAAGGACATCCATTACCTTCAGAAGTTAGCATAGCATATAATTTTGAAACAAACACAATAGATTTTAAAGTCGTCTCTGCAAAGAAGTCAGGATTTACATTTAATGAAGCAGATGTATATTCGAATGAAAACTTCAAAGCTATTGCATGGTTAGATAATGACGATTGCTTTAAGAAAATATTTAAATACAGTGACTCAACGATGTCAATAGATGACCTTCGTGGAATGTTACCATCGACGTTTACAGTAGAAGGTTCAGCAGGATTGCTTACAAGATTGTCAATTGGTGGTATTTGGTCTCGTGAGAACATTGTTATAAAATCCAGTATAAGTGAATTTGCTGAAGAATCTATATTATGTCTTTCAAACTACATGTATTCGCCGCCGAAGCATTATAGTATAACAAACTTTGTCAGTAAGTTTAACATAAGACTTGTCGAACCTTCTTCAATGAAAGATGTTGTGCTACCCAAAGACGGAAAGGATGGACTCATTATTGAAATGATTTTAATAGCATATTAAATGAGCTTGTTCTTGAAGGTCATTCATGATGAAATAACTGTTGTAGAAGATGTTAGCAATTGTTCAGACATTTTGAAGCGTATAGATGATATAAGAAAGAAGTTAGATAGACCGCAAAGTAGTGAGGGCGAAGCCCGTGAGAACGCTTATGTTTCATTGACTTTCTCCAGTAACGAGAACTTTTATGAGATAATATTGAAGAGAGATGATTTTAATATGGTGTAAATGGTAGCTTGGGCAGCTTTAGGCGCAATGGGAACAAAAGCATTAGCATTTGGAGCAAAAGCACTTGGAGCTTATGACGCAGTAAATAAAATGAGTGGAGGAAGGGTTTCAAAGACATTAGATGCAAATAAAGGGAAGATTGGAGGCTGGGTTGCAAAGAAGTTAAGATTAAATAAAATAGGGCTCATAAATAAAGCATCCAATTTGGTTGCGACTGAGTCAGAAAATGCTTTAGGAAAGGACGATGAGTTTGCAAAACACGCAAAAGACTTTAATGACCAGATGAAAGGTGAAACAATGCATTTAAATAGAGTCGATGGAACTAAAGAAAATGTTTCTTCTCCACCAGTAGTTCTTCCGTATGGTCCCTATGGAATGTATGGAAACCCTTACGAAAGACCATTTGACCCATTGACTGGTGGAAGTAACTGGTATCATTACGGCCGAAGAAGAAAGACAGTCAAGTTGGAGACAGACGTGAAGAAAGCAACTAAAAAGAAACCAAGGAAGAGAGTTATAAAGCAATGAATTCAACAGGGTGAAAAAAGAGGTGAAATCTCACCACTTCACCTAAATTTATTTTTGTACTATGTTTTCATACGTGTGAGGGTGGTGATATCATTAATTTTTAAGTTTATTTTTTATTTTATTTTTATATAAATGACGAAAACTATTGAGATAACAAACTACAACGGTCATGAGTTCAAGAATTTGTTCTTCGTTCCTCGTGAAAATACATTCTATCAGATACGAGGGAGAAAGGGTAAAGTTAGTTTGAGTGTTTATGAAGGAATGAAGAATGGAAAGTTTATACAAGCATACGATACAAACGGTAAACGTGTTTCATTAGCTTTGTCAAAACTTACTAACATTTATTTTGACAGTGATTTTGACCTATATGAAGAAGAAAGTGAGTCAGAAGATTATGAGCTGTTATGTGAAGCACAGCAATGGGAGGAGTTGCAATACTTTTGTAAGTGAGAACGTTTATTTTTTACATTAGTGAAGTCGTTTGTGAAAACGTTAGTGAGGTGAAGTGGTTGGCAGCTTTGTAAATATTTAAGGTTAAGTTAGTGTTGTCGTTTGTGTTGTAAAATATATGTTAACGGTTTCGTAAAGTGTCAAATTCACATATAATGGGTACGGTGGAACGCAGTGCCTCCGTACACATGATATGTATACTAACTCAAGCTATTGTTGATGAAGAAAAAGGAGATGGAGCTGATATGCTGGATTTAATTCAAAATGAATTGAATTCTCGTAAAAAATTGAAATATAGAATGGAAATACCTGAAAATCCCCCAATTCCAATTCTCAAGGAAAGATATAGCAAATTAAAATTTACAGATCCTACAGAAGCTGCTATATTTATTGCAAAAGATTCATATAATTCTTTTTATCCATTAAATTTTGAGCAAGGAAAAAAGTTTCGTTGTCCTAACTGCCAATTTTGCATGGAGCTTGTAAAGACTCATGAAAATGGTCAACTTTTCTTCATTCCAGTAATTAAACACGAGCATAGAGCAAAGCAATGCAAGCCGAGTAACAATATACCAAAAATTCTTAAGTTGCAAGCAGGAAAAAAAGTCTATGAATTAGCAAATTCTGATAATGTTCCTCAATGCAAAGAAATTTTTGCAAAAGAATTGAATATTCCCAATGCAACTTATACGATGTTCCATAATATAGTAAATAAACTTAAAGGAACCACAAAGGGGATAGAATTCAATCTTACAATTATTTCTCAACAATTTTTTCAATCATAAACAAAATCGAACAAGGATTCTGCGAAATGATTTTAGTTAAAGAAGTTAACAATGAAATTGAATTGCATACATTTAAGAAAGGTGATGAATTACCTGAAAATTCAAAAGACTTTCAAATTTATTCATTTATTGTAATTCCTCCAATAACTCATTTTTACATGCAAACACAAGCTTTTTGCGGAATAATTCAAATTGATGGAACGTTTTTATTTTGTATTAAAAAAGGAAACTTACTCATTATTGGTACACCTGCACCAAATAATAGACTTATCCCTATTGCATTTGCATGGTCTGTTAGTGAAAATACGATAACAATTAAGGATATGCTCACTAAATTGAAATCTTTTATTCCACCAAGCAGATTCAAGAATATTTATTCCGATCAAGGTCCGGCAATTATAGCTGCTGTTAGAGAATCAGGCTTTTCTTGCGATCATAAATTTTGCTTACGTCATTTTGCAACAAAAAGGGAATACATCAATGTCTATTCCGAAATTGTTGAAGTCGCTTACGCAGACCATCCTCAAAAACGAATTGACTTGATTAAAAAGTTAGAAACTCGTTTACAAGAGGAATATCCAAACCGCGAAAATAATCAGGATCTCTTTAAGTACTTAGATAGTATTAACCCATTTGAAGGATTCGCTGACTACACCGCTGGCATACTCACAACATCTCTTATTGAATCCCTTAATGCCGAAATTAAAGATAAATGGGATACATATGAACCCGCCGAACTAATTATCCGTCTCATTGAACATGAATTCAATCTTGTTAAAAATGTTTTAACAGGTGATTTTAAATCAGATAATATTATCAAAAATCTAAATGAAACTTTGAAACATTCAGATATGTTTAGCTCGGTATTATATGATCCAATTCAAAAATTATATTATGCAACTTTTGGTCGCTATACATATTGCGTAAAAATTATGTCAGATTCACAATATTCATGCACATGTAAGCACATCGAATTATACGGATTACCTTGTATTCATGTAATCGCCGTATTGAATCACTTTTCGAACAAAAATCTTCTTAAAAATTTGAATGATGCAGTTCATGCTCGCTTCAAATGTTCAGAGTTTATGACTCCTGTGGAAGATTTAATGAAATTTTATGTTGACCAAGCATCTTTAAAAATTCCCGGAATAAATTTCAACCTGGGAGAGATTGAAAAATTAAGGGGAAAAAGGACTAGGATTAAAGCATTTTACGAAAAGTGATGCTGTGTTGTTAGTTATTTATTTACTTTTTTTAATATTTTTTAAAAAAATAAAAGAAAATTCAAATAATTTTGTATCTCCCATGATATATCGACCCACGAGTACTAATGTGACTATAATTAGAGATTGCAACTCTATTATGATCATAGTCCGGTGATATACAATAAGATTCAAATTTTGAAAGAATTAAATTAATAAAATCCCGGTGAAAAAAATAAAAACAGCTTCTAAAAGCATAGTTATCTTAAAATACGAACTTTAACACAAGTTTTTTGATCCAATAGAAAATTGAATTCTTTGAATAAATAAAATATTTTATGTATTAACATATTAAATTTCCTAATTATTTTTTCTTCTTGGGAAAATTTTTGAATTCGAATAGAAAATTCAATAAATTGAAATTGGGTTGAAAGAATTCTCCATATTAACTTGTCATATATTTCAGATCATATAAATTAAGTTAATTAAATTTTTTAAAAACCTTAATAGGATAAAAAAAAGAATTTACACTCTCTCACTTTGAAAACGTAGAAAATGCCAATCTATTGGTATACATTTTAGTTTTGTTAAGTTTACAAAACGATTACTCTAGATTTTAAAGATTTATCAAGAATTTAGAGAATATCCTTCTCAAAACAACTTCAATAGCGAAGGATTAGTATTGAATCGGATTTGTAACATAATTATAGTACATTACAATACAATTTCTCCGACTTTTAAATATTTTTGAAATATTTACAAAATATGCTCTTTCTATCATCGATACTTTAATACAGAGCAAATTTAGTAAATGTCATCACGTTATTTTTTCATAAATCGTTTTCGAACTTTTGAAATATTTATTTTAAACCAGTTTTCTACATTTAATATGTGAATTATATCAAAAGTAGATGGGCGATACTTGTAAATCTATTTAAACTATTAGTTTGCTATTATTGAAGAACTTTATAATTTTTTTTTCTTATGTATGGAATTAAAGATAATTTTGCCGATTCCAACTGGTTTTTCTATATGAGTTAAATATGCCAAGTGAAATTGGACTTGCCAATATTGTAAATTGAAGTATGGACTATATATCGATTTTCATTGATTGATGAATAACTCGGAGTAATGTAATTGTTGATAATGAAAAATAGTTTTCAATTGCTGGTAAGGGCCAATGTATGTTCAATAGCTCCGAAAGCAAAAAATGCACGTTTAGAAAAAGACGATAACAATTAAATGACAAAATCAATAATGACCCCTGAAAATTCCGATTGACAGACTCGCAAAGAGAAACAGAACTGCGCTCCTCTGCTGGTTTGCAGAACATTGGGAAGAGATAAGTCCTCATATTACGGACTTGTCAACGCCATCAAATATTAAGAATGAAAAATCATGCATGATTATCGATCCATTTGACGTTTCCCAATTGCTTAATATTCATTGATGTATTATATGTAAATTTATTATTTATCTTAGTATTATTAGTGTAAATTTATCAATTTATTGACGTAAAATTCTCAAATTTAATTTGTGAGGATTGTTTTGAATTAGAAATATGTCATTCAAAATTTTGCCAAGTTAAATTAATGGAATAAGTGCAGAGGAAATTATATCGTAAAAAGGAAAACTCGAAAACAATCGATAATTATATTTTTCGACAATTGTGAGCTCACAAAATTGAATGCAAAAGTGTTTTTACTAAATCATCGCTGTGATAGAGAAATGCATTCTTAAAAAGATTTCAGCATTAAAAAAATATTTTATGTGTATTTGAAATCCAAAGTATTTACATTTACATAGGAGATAAATTCAAATTTATAGTTGAAAGTGTAGCAAATTACCGAAATAATTTTAATATGAAGATTGAATTTGAACGTATAATCAAATTTTTTCAGGAAATTCTAAAATAATGAATTAATGGCGCAAATGGTTAAATTATTTTAAACAGATAAGCATATAATGAAAATTAGATTTCCGTAAAGGTTCAAAAAAAATCATATTTTTGTTTATCAATCAGCAATGAAAAATGCATTGAAAATCATAAATGTATATTGTACGTGATTAATGGCATAGATATTTCATAATGGTTCATAAAATATTTGATTTATTTTTTTTATCAATTTTTTTTATGAAAAAAAAAAGATATCGAAAATAAATTATCGATATTAGCTGATTGGAATCATGTGTAATTTAGTTTATATTTCTTTTTGATGAACCTTTTTTATTTTTGTTTTTTTGAATTATTTATTTTCGTACTAAAAATGTTAATTGATTTATGCATTGATATTTCTAAGCCAAATTGACATTAAAATCCTGATAATAATGTACTTTTGCATGAGATTTGGAAATTTTTTGCAAAAATAAACTTTATGAAAAGTTTTTCTTCATTTATTCTTGTCCAATCGCATAATAGATTATTGTTCTCGTATTTTTAATAATTAGTTTTTGTTTTTGAACATTCCTGATAACGCATATGGGTTAATTGAAAATATCTTGAGTACAAAAAAGTAGTTTTTATCAATTATTTGAAAAGGAGAGATTTTGCTTCAATTTATAAGATAATCATAATTTATCTTTGGTCAATCTGATGCTCAAAATTTTGGTGTTTGCCAAATCAATGGTTTGTTTCAATTGTGCTTCAAAATCTGAATTTGATTTAACAAATAGGATATTGGTAGTCTTGAGTTATTTTATTGTTGATTAATTTTCTGTGATAATATTTTTTCTCCAATTAAACTCCGAGATCTTATTTTAAATTTATCTATGCTCTAATTCATTTATATATTCAGTTTTTCAAATCTTTCCTTTGATGTGTTATTTATTTCATAAAATTAAATGTATTTGTATAAAATATATCATCGATCGCAAAAACAATTGTATATTTACATTTCAATATGTTGATATTTCTTATAGTCAATAAAACAAGTTCCTTTTAGCAAAAAATGAAAATCGATTTGATCGAATCATTTTAAATTCTGGTTCCATTACTTATATATATAATCTTCTGATGCAATAATATGGGTTACATTAGTTAAATTCAATAAATCCAAGAATTTTTTAGGACATATTTTTGATACTAAATTTAGATATTCGGATTTGCAACGGAAGGTTGGATATATAAACGAGTGCATTATGTCTTCTTTGATGTAATATTTTTCTTCTATTGAAATATATTTTTTATTCATATGGAAAAAAAATTAGCTAAAAATAATTTTTAAAGATCACTGTTTAATCATTAAGCCTTTTCAACAAGTGTTGTAAGATTATTCGCAAAGGATTTTGCTCAAAAAGCGTAACTTGATATACCTATGAACCAACACAAGATTTGTAGCTATCCAAGCTTAAAATACTTCTCTTATATGAATAAAACTCAGCATAATTTAAAAAATTATGAGAAAATTAGCATTTGTTTGGTGAACTCGAAAGTATCAAATGCTGGTACGTATGTATTTAAAATGAGCATTTAATGATACTTCGTAATAACTATTGGGAAATCTGTAACTGAATTTTGAATAAAATTCAAGTCGTCATTTCATATCTATTCTTATACTTGACACTTCATACATGAGTGAGAGTTTCAAACTCTAACTATGTAGATTGGCTGATGAATTAAATTCTATAAAAAGAACTTACGGTCAAAATTAAAAATTAAAGTATTCGAATTAATTACGCCATCGTTTCTGTTGATATATCCGTAATATCATCTATATTTATCTGTTTTAACATCTTCTGATATAAATCCCAGAAAACAACAAGAATTAATGATGACATGAGAGTACCTATAATTGATAATACCGTGTTGACTGTTGCGGGAAGAATATTTGTGAAAGCCGAAAATCCGATTAGTAAAAATCCGACGAAAATAATAGCATATATGTATTTCCAGAAACTTTCTGATGTGCCAGTCTGTTTCTCTTCGTGTTCAACGTAAGATCTAACGAAGGATTCATAGTTCTGGTTCATTTCCACTGATCTTAAATGATCGTTTATTTGAAACTTTACGATCAATTACGTTAAGGGATTTATCAGATTTCAGAATATGGGTAATGACAATTGCATTTTTTACTGTTATAGACCGAAAATAGATTTTTTCGGTTTTCTCTTCAAATAATTGAAAGAATGATACTATTATAGGTTTATTATATTATATAGCATATAATCATGCTATAGCCGAAAATTATAAGTTTTGAGAAGATTGAATATAACACAAATAAATTTGAATGTAAGTTAAATTGCTTGTTGTTTTTAATCGCTATTTAATGAGAAATCCAATATTGCAAAATTCAAATTGAATGATTGAAAGAACAGAAAAAGTCATTCTTTTCAATTTCGAATATGTTTCATTGTATTTATAATTATATGCCAAATAAGATATTTAAACTTGATTTTTGAAGGAAAATTCACAAAATTGAATAAATTCAAATAATTTTTATTCAAAAATAAACTAGTTATTTGAGTTTAATACCGATTATCTATTCAAACTACAAAGTTTGTAATTTAAAATATTTTGTGAGATCAGATTGAATTAATTCAAGGTTCTTTTCAATTAATATTCATGACCATATTACGCATTTTCGAACATTCTAAACCAAATATATAAAAATGGGAGACGAATGTTAAATTTGCTAGACATGGGGGAGTTGTCTGCAAAGTTTTAGCTCTTATCTCTAACAAAAAATTAATTTTTAAAAAAATGACCGAATACGTTTCACAGCGAGAAAAAAATAAAAGGCAAGATAGAATTTTCTAGACATAAAGAAGTTGTTTACCGAGTTTTAGCTCTTATCTCTAACAAAAAATTAATTTTTAAAAAAATGACCGAATACGTTTCACAGCGAGAAAAAAATAAAAGGCAAGATAGAATTTTCTAGACATAAAGAAGTTGTTTACCGAGTTTTAGCTCTTATCTCTAACAAAAAATTAATTTTTAAAAAAATGACCGAATACGTTTCACAGCGAGAAAAAAATAAAAGGCAAGATAGAATTTTCTAGACATAAAGAAGTTGTCTACCAAG